AATCTAATGAACAAAATAAACTGACAAACTAAATAGATCCAGAGGCATTAAACACATGGAACCGACTGACATCTCAGAGGGGAAAGGTGTAGGAAGGACTTGGAAGAGATTAACCAAAGAACAAATATGCATATATGCATAACCCACAGACACAGACAATAATGTGGTGAAGGCCTAGGGGGAGGGTGATGGGGATATGGGGGAGGAAAACAAAGGGGGAAGAAAGGGGGGACATTTATAATAGTCTCAACAGTAAAATAAAAAAAAAGAATAATTATCTTTTTAAAACTCTGAATTAGAAGACATAATATAATAGTTTCTTCAAGCCTAATGTTGCTATACTCACTGGATTAAAAAAAAGAAAACGAACAAAATAAGCAAGACTTACAAATAAGCTTAGCTGAATGGTGTCCCTGAAGTTCCAGCAGTCCCATACAATACTAATACTCCACTAAAACATACAATAGCTACTTATTGATGCTTGTTAACAAACTGGAACTTGAAGCATAGTTTCTGAGAACAAAATTAAGAGTACATCAGAGTGCTAAAGCTGTCACTTCAAGTACAGATTAAGTTAAGTGCACATATTCTAAAGAAATGATTACAAGAGGGTGGGACGTAAATAAAGAAAACTGGACATTACAGTAGGAGCTGAAATCCAAGTTGCTGGTGTCCTCAAACTGGTTAATCCTGGGGCCCAGCATATTGCTGAACTTGATTTGTGCGTGTGTGCGTGTGTGCTCCAAAACATGGGGGTGGGGTAGGGTGGGGAGAGGTGGAGGTGTAGGAGGAAGGTGAACAATAAAAACAGTCAAACTGGTGATTCAAAGTTATCGGGTGCACAAACATCAGTTTTCCCTCTTTTCGGGAGTGGAAAAATATTCTTCAATGAGCTTCGGCCCAGATAATGGCAGTTTCTCCTGGGCGCTGGGCAGCAGGGAGGGCGCTGCCCTACCAGAGCATCTTCACTAACTTGACTTTGAGAGTGACACCCCACCTCACATCAGATACCCTACTGACATTTCGACCAATGGGGCAACAAACACCACAGCCAAGGCAACCCCTGGGCTCCTCTCTTTCCTATTGATGCATCTCTCTGAATGGGATTCAGGGAGGTCATGCCTCACAGACAATTGTGTAGTCAGTGCAAACGAAAAAATCCGGTATGGGAACAGCAAACGAAGTGAGTAATGGCTAGGAAAAGGTCTCCTCAATCAGCCATGTCGGCTACAGGTAACAATTATTCTATAACTTAATATTTTCCACTTACAAATTACCTTGGTACTTTGATCATGGTGACTATGTACATAAAAGCTAAATACAAAACATATATGTACTCAAAGGGAGAGGACCAGATTGATTAGTTTTAATGCTCTCCTACTGCCTGGTGTGTGCCTCTCTAGGAAGGCTGAGGTTGCACCACTTGGACTTATCTCACTGACAGCTTCACTTGGGGCCCTATGAGCACTAAGTGAGGATGTCTGCATAAAGCACAAAGTAATAACACAATAAATGTGAGCTGTATTATTACTGTCATTTACTCCTCGCTGAGGCTCAGCAGACACATCACCCACACTACAAAAGAGCAAAGAGAAGTGGGCAGGAAAAAGGACCGGAAAAAAGAACATTGACAGTTGTGTTGCTTATTTTAATAAGTGCAAACAGTGGGATTCCTCTGTTGGTCCGGGATCTTTGCAGCAATAGACTGGGCTTACATATTGAAGCCAAATATCTTCTAAAGACCAAATTTTCAAATAATGATATTTATAAAAACATCAGCCAAACACAATTAAAATTTACATATAATGTTGACAGTATACTGTTTTCCCTAGAGACTTAGCACAGTGAAGTCAGAAATGCATTAAACAGAAGAATGTGGTGAGAAAATACGTGGTGATAAAGAGGCTAGAGTGAGCACCAGGCCAGGAGCGCTATACCCTGCTGCTGGGAGATAAATTACACCTGGCATTGATGTACTCCTGCAAAAGGGCTGACTCACTTAAGGTTCTGATTAGGAAAAATGAGTTAGTGCACTAATTGCAGTGAATCAATTTGTATATAAAAATTATAAGACAGAATTACTTAACTATATTTTATACAGCGATAAACATATAGATATTAAATATTCTAATATACAGTCATACTTTAGGGGGCTTAATATCAGCTTCAAATGATGTTATCCATAGTCATAATTTGCTGTATATTATCATATTGTGACAAATGACCTGTTTGAGTTGAAAATCCTAAGTTGTGTGACCCAAGAAAATACAGCTGGCACTCTATGTAACTGCCTTTCACTGAGCCAACCTCCTGGATTAAATACTGCTCCGGCTCCCTCTGTGAGCCACAATGATGAATGCCCAATGGCACTAGCAGGCAATCCACAGCACCACACACGGGATTTCTGCTCCCACCAGCTGGACAAAGAGTCGGCTGTGTCTTCCAAACCTGTATATACCAGTTGACTTGTTACTGTAATTATGAAATTTAATTAAATATTATGAAAGCTTATGGAATATGATCACAAAAAATAAATCTCGTTCCTACTAAAAACTAAGTTGAAGGCCTTGGAAAGACTTAATAAAGACAAGTCACTTAAAAAAAAGCTGTTGGATTAGATGTGAGTAAGATGGCTATTAAAAAATGAGAAAAAATATGAAACCTAAGATTTTATAATATTCAGATTGCTTTGCTAGTGTCTATGTTTGTGCTCTTGTGGTTTATACTATTAATACAAACATAGACTCAAAATAGTAGAATCACTGTCAAAGAAAAAGCCCTTGGACTTACAAGAGTTTGGCAAATATACTTTTATATATTTTAATGAAAATAAAATATTTTGAATATGTACACTTTTTAAAGATTTCCTGATTTAACAGGTATTTTCAATTAACCAGTTCTAATTATGCTGGGTAAGAGGGTACTTTTCCATGCTTCAAATTAGAAACTATTTTGGATTGGTGGCTTTTAAATTTATGAAGTGTTATGAGCTAAACTGGATTACTCTGAAATATAGGCATTAAAATTTTTATCCCCAACTTTGGAGAGACAAAAATCCTTTAAACAAATTTCTATCAGATTTAAACATAAACATACACTCCTTCCTTTTAGATTAATACAGCAGAGAGCTGAGCCCAGCGGTTAAGAACATGACTTTGGTCAGACTCAAGGTGGAATCCTGATTCCAACATTACTAGCTCCATGACAGCTAAACCACTAATGTCACTTAAGCCCAGTGTTCTCATCTGGAAAATGTCACCAATAGCGATCCCTACCACAGTGGGCAGAAAGGATGAAATGAGAATATGCATGTCACATCAAAAGGTCAGCAAAGTTCCTGGTACATAGTAAGTACTTGAAAATGTTTATTATTACTGTTACCATACTGCCTAATGGGGGGAAAGTACCTAATACTACATAAAAAAAAGATTGTAACTAATATGTTCTTTCTTGTGTTGGACCTGAAATGTCAATTTTTAGCAAGATGGCCTTCACCCACAGACAGCTAAGAAACACCTGTGAAAATTTCCCCAGGTACAATGGATCAGGCATTCTCAGCTAGGTGCAATAGTACTGCCTAAGGAATATTTGGCAATGCCTGGAGATATTTTAGGTTGTCACAACTGGGGAAGGGGGAGAGGACACACATTGGCATCTAGGGCATAGAGGCCTGGGGTGCTGCTGAACATCCTACAATGCATAGGATATCCCCCCTCCAAAGAACTATCTGGCCCCAAATGCCAAGATGGCAACACTGAGAAACCTTATAGCTTAAAGGACAGTATAAGAAAAAGTGATTTCTAAAATCTACTCCAGGAAATTATTCCAAGAGAATAAAAGTTGCTTAAAAATGAAATTGGGGTCTTCATTATCATATTAATTCCAGAAGCATTGCCATGAATATTTAGGAGACATACTAGTATGTACTTGTAACAAGTTAAGATTCTCCTTGTCAATAGGAGACCCTCTAAAATAGGGTCTATCATCTAATAACCTTACGGTAAGTTTTATTCTAAAGCCATAATGAGTACTAGAAATGTAATGTCATTCAGAAAAATAAGTCTAAATAAGATTCAAAAACTCCAAAACAGTAAGTGGGAAATCAAAACATTGCTGTAGTCATCTGCATACAGGGCCTCTCAACTTGGCTGCAGAGGTTACTGAGCCAGCCAGCGGACCACAGTGCATATCCCTCCCTGGCCAGCATCCTGTTTCCCAGCTTGGGTGCTTATATGACAAACTCATTCTTCAATTAATAATGCTGCTCAAAAACACTATTAGAAAGCTCTTACAAGTTCATTTAAACTACTGACTTTTTAACAAATCACAGGGCCTTTCTTAAGTCTGAGATAAAATGGTACACAAACTATAACCCAACAATGTATATGTGTGTGTGTACACACCTCCAAGAACAAAAAAGACTAGAAAGGAAGTCACCAACATGTTCAAATACAGAAGACCTAAATTTGATTCCTGGCTCTGAAACTTACTGGCTCTGTGACTTTTGTCAAATAATGTAATTAACTCCCACTAAAATGCCTGTGAAACAAAGAGAGATGTATTACAATTCCCATTAACTGATGAGAACATTGAGGCGGAAAAGCAATGGTCCTGCACTAATTGCAAAAGTATTACATTAATGAAAGGCAGCATTAAGATGGTTTTTGTATCCCTTAATATAAAGCTATATTTAAAATATTTTCAACTTTAACATTTATTCTTAAAGGATACACAAGTCTTCTACACAAAGATTATACACCTCATTCACTAAATCAGATGTTTTTTTTAAAAAACATGAGTATTTAATATACAAGACATTTTAATACCTTAAAGGATTCATAAAAATGCAAATAGAAATACATCACAAAGAGAAATACATCACAGCAAATAACTATTTAACTATTTTACCATCAAGAGAAAATACAAGAATATCTCATGTCACACAACTTAAAAACAAGCAAAACAAAACAAATAGTACTCTTTCAGAAAGAACTACTCACCCTTCTGATAGAAGAATTTCCTGTAATAGTAGGCGCCGAGGTCCACGTGCTCCACGATGTACCGTTTCACGCGGTCCAGATGCAACACCAGGTTCTCCTTGGGCACTTCAAGCACTGCCACTCCTGCGTTTGTGCAATGGGAGCTGAGTGCAGACTCAAAGGAGGCACTTTCACACCCACTAAAGGAGCCAGAGTTTGACTTCGACAGGCTGATTTTCCTTTCACCTTCTCCACCTATCTCATTCCGAAAATACGGACAGCTCATTACAAGCTCATTGCTTTTATCATCTCCCTGGTCCATGCCGAGGCTGCCTTTGGAATTCAGGTCCTCCGTGCTGCCCATCGGGGAGTTAAAACTGGCTGAGTGGGACAAAGGTCCTGAAACCAAGGACGCTACAGCAGCTGCCGAAGCCCCCGTGGTGGTGTTTCTCCTCTTAATAACATTGTGCCTGTTCATGATCGCCTCATTCAAGTCAAATAATATACTCTGGACATCGTAGTGGGCAAAGCACTTTGGACACGTCCAAGGTCTGACGGAGTCTTCTGACCGGTTATCTTCAAGATCTGATGATTTCCCAAGTTCATCACCTTTGGCATTGCGTAATTTACGAAAAATGGATGAGTCTCCAGTTTCAGACTTGGACCGTCGCTTAAGTGGTTTTTCCCTTTCCTTGAAGAGCCTGAGGTTGTCTCTTTGTGTGATGGGCCCATCTATAACATCCAAAGAGAAACCAGAACCCTTGCCCCCACCTGCGATGAGAAAGTCACTGAGCTTGGTTGGAGTTGGGCCTCGGTCGGATTTGTCATCTTTGTAGCCCTTTAACAAGTCAAAGAAGCTCTCTCCAGATGTTCCCTGCTTATCGATTGAAGAGGTGCTACCATACTCCCTGTGCAGGGAGGGCCCAGTCTTGTAGGTGGGTGAGATACATTCATCGAAGCTATCCACGTCAAGTTCACTTATGGTGATGTCGCTGTTGCTCCGCTGCCGAATTCTGCGAAGAGCCTTTCTGGGGGAGCCGGGGTAGGCTTCAGGCATGAGGAATCTGGAGTCCATGCTCTCCAATGGTCTCGTCTTGCTTTTCAGCGTGTTCTGTATGCTTTTCAGCATGGCTGAGTCACTGGAATTGAGGCTAACAGAACTTCCCTGACTCACGGGACTGCTTTTGGAGGACATGCTCTCAAGGCAACTTGAGGTTTCTATTTCCTGACTTGAACGGCTAGATTCTTTGACGTTTTCCTTCCGTGGGGGCCAATCTGCGATCCTAGCCCTGACCCCCATCTTTGGGACTCCGGGGGTCGAGGTGATATGGTGAGGACCTTCGCTGCGGGGGGGCCCTACCGGAGCCATGACCGAGGATCCCAGGCTGCCGTTCTGGGACCGGAAGCGCCGCATGTAGAAGTCGTCAGTGTGGACTTTGGGAGGGCCATCGGTGCCCACCACCGAGGCCCTGTCCGTGGCAATAGGCCTCTCCGTCTGCGACCGTTTCAAGCTGGTCATGATGGGAAAGCGGTCAGACCTAAATCCCTGCGGAAAGGACCATCATCTCCAGCTCTAAATGTGCGCTTCCCTTTCGGAGAACGGTTTCCAGCAAATACAGCAGTTGCATGAGATCTTACTCTTTTTCATTTAGAAGGTTAAACGATGCCTTATTTTCAAGCTTCTGAAAATCCAGATCTTCAGAACATTATAATCCACAATCGTTCCTTTGCTTCACTTTAATAGATGGCTTTCTTTCAGAAAAAACTGAATGGAACTTGTATTACTGGGACTCTGTGGTTGCTATAATCCCATGCTTTCTCTGAAAGAGAAGGACAATTGGAATTAGCATTTGATAAATACATCTAAAAATAAATATGCAATTGCCAAAACCAGACACATGAAAGTAAAAGACTCCACAATGAATGTGGTTCACAGCTCATGCCCCAGTATTTTATCAAAGCAGGTTTGAAAGAAAGTGAAAGCGTTTAATGAAATCCATCTTTTGAAGTATATATATTTTAAAAGAGTATTAATACTTCAGCTTAATTGAGCTATTCCATAGAACGGGGAGTGGGGAGATCTCATTCCAGGACACTAAGGCTCCAACTCCCAGGGCAGACCAATTACAGACTCCAACGACCTCCAGAATGCAGAATATCACCAGCAGCTGTGCTGACCAAAAGTTTTGAGACATAACCCACAGAGTTCAGTACTTGAACAATACATAGTCTGTTTTTTTTAACAAGACTAAAAATTGGAAAGTCATTTTATTTAGTATGTAGCAGCACTCACTTTTTAACATCTTCTATATTTCAAAGTCCTAATTTGTCTTTTGTTGTTTTTTACAAAGGCTTTTACATAGTTGGCAAGAGCCAATACAACAGACAGAAAATAAACAGCGTTTTCCGAGAGCCACCCTACCCAGCACGCTTCTGTGTTATCCTCTACTTCATTACTTACCCCGAGGAGGCACATTTCAGAACGAATCCGGCTTTCGCCACCACCGCTTCCCAAGCTCTCTCCGGTTTCATCTATTCCTAAAGCTGGAGCTAGTTCACTAATTAACAAAATGTCTGCATTTCCTTAGGCACTGCAACCCACCCCACCCTTCGGCGCTCATTTATGAAGAAAGCAGAAACTAGACCTCTGCCGTAGCGAGACCTCTGCAGACTCCCCAAGAGCAACCAAGAGCTGTCAGCATCCTTCCAGGCGAGGGCCTTGAAGACCAACTTCCTCGGTGCACAGCAGTCAGGAGGGAGAGGCACAAATCCCGAGCACAGAACCCTGCGCGGTGGCGTGCATCCCGGAAATAAAGGCAGAGGACCCTTTCCCAAGCTCCACACACGACACAAGGGGTGGCCTTTAGATTCTTGCCAAATCCATGTTGGGAAGATGCTGCTGACCCAGCACTGCACTGACAGGGCTGCATTGTCTACAAATCACGCCGACACCCTGAGGATGAGCCTCGCTCCCCGCTCCACGCAGCGGTAACAAGCACTTACTTCCACGATAATTAAGCATCTTGCTTGTCGGCTTCCTGCCTGCAAGGCAGCCGCTTTAATTCCTCTTGCAGTACGCAGCAGCCTTTTAGAAGACTCGCTGCTATTTAAAGGCTGGAACATTTGGGGTGTTTCAAAAACTGCAGGCTGCCTGCAGAATGCGGGGCCAGCCAGCTCCAGCTGGGCTTGGGGGCTGGGCTGGGCAGCGGGGTCAGATAAATGCCAATTGTTCTCACCCCCTCCCTCCTCTTCCCCACCTTTTGTGAAGGGAGAATGTCCTGCACTGCTACCTAATTAAACCTGGCTTGGGCGCTTTCTGGAGAGTTCTGCTGTCAGATTGTTCAGATTACCTTTCCGTTTCAGAACTTTACAGGCTCCTATTGAACGGTAAGCCTTCAAGTGGAGGAACGTGCTAACTGTTGCGTCCAAAGGCAGCACGTGGGGCCACAACTCGGAATGGAGAAGTGCCCCTCACAGAATGGAAGGGAGCCAGTCCACTGAGCCAAATGCAAAGCAAGCACCAGTCCATCTCCAAAGGGAAACTCTTCTCACAATCCAAACCAGAACTTACGAGCTATTTTTTAACTAGGAAAACAATATGCTGTTTATTTCAATGAAATACCTTTCAGAGAAAGACTACACTAGCAGAAAGAATAATTCTAAGTAGATTCTTATAAAAACCAGATGCTTTCAACATTTCGCACAATCTCACAGAAATCAAGATAAATCATCTATTACTGCCTGAACGTTCGCTCTCAAAAAGGTCAACACACCAATGCCACCATGATAAAAGCTCATTCTTGCCACATTTCATTTCCCTTAGAGAACAGTTTGTTGTGGGACTGTCTTTTTAAGGCTATGTGAAGTTATACCCATGGTAGGAGGAAACGAAGAGCTGGAACTAAAATACAACAAACTGAACTGATTTGGACATGCCCAACCTTGGCCATTACTACTAAGGTACTCCCTTCAGAACATCTCATTTGCTTCCTATATTTTTAATGGATTTTTTTAAATCTTATTTTAAACATAAAAATTTCTTCACAATTTAAAAGAAATGCCAAGCCTCCTATTACATCTTTATTATAACAACAACTCAATTTTTTTTAAAAATTTCAAAATATAGATGGGCACATGGGAGGAGGGGGGAGAGTGCCCACAGTTTAATGACTTGTCAAAACTAAGGAGGTTCAAGACAGACAACTAAGTTAAATGACAATTTTTTTCTTTCTTTCCTACTTTATCTCTTTCCCTTCTTCCCTTTCCTCACCCTTATTTATAACATCAAACTCATTTTGGTGCAATATAAATTTTGGATACTGACTAGCATATGTAGAAATATATACGCTGTGGATTTATTAAACTACTAGTAAAAAATACAGTATCTATGTGTAATACAGGCATACCTCAGAATGCTACAGGTTCATCCCAGACCACTGCAACAAAGTGAGTATCGCAATAAAGCCAGCTGTAATATTTTTGCTGGGGGTGGGTCTTGCCTTTAATTTATAAAAAGCACAATATCTGTGAAGCACAGTAAAGCAAAGTGCAATAAAATGAGGTATGCCTGTATGGTGGCAAATCAATAACACCTACAACCTATTTCTTAGGGTGATGGAAATAGGAAGCATATGCTGACAATTATTAGTAATTATCTTGACTATCAGCAAACCTGCCTAAGCATCACTAAATGTGGCAAAAAGCAACAGAATTAAACAGAAGGGCAATGCTAATTTATAGCATGTCGCCTCCATCTGTTGAAAGAGCAGGCTATGTTAAAAATTTCCTGTTACGTGTTTAATTTTACAGCTCTAGGTACTATTTGAGTCCATGAAATACCAATCCCATGGTACCGAGTTAGAGTACCAATCCCACTTTTAGTTCAGTGAGCTTTTGGAAACTGTATCAGAAAATGAGACTATCCACTCAAATTCTACTAGCTGAAAGTCTTTTCATCACTCTAAGTCTATCACAACATAACCACCACCCCTTTCTGACAATGCCCTTCTTTCGGAAGAAGTGCCTTCTCCTCTCCTAAATCATTCCCAGCCTTCCCGCATTCTCTTCTGACCATCGACCATACACCTGGTCCTAGGGATGTTTGAGAAGGCAGTCCCTCCCCTTCAAGGAAAACTCCAGGTGCACAACAATCCTGTCCTTCTGACTCTTAGAGACTTTCACACCTTTGCCGCCTCCCTCCTTCCTGACACTCTTCTCTAGCCTCCCAGGACAACCATGCTCTTCGTTTTCTCTTGCCTCCTGCTTTTTGCTCACTCCTCAGTATCGCTGGGAGGCTCCATGTAGGAGCTGGTGATCCAGGGTGGTCCCCTTCGCTTATTCCCTTCCCATTCTCTATGTGTCTGCAGGGGCTGTAAAGGGTATAGTGTTAGGATGCACGTGAGCTCTGAGCACTGTAGGATGTGACAGCAGGCCTAGGAGCACGGAGTCAACATGTTTCTCTGGAAAGCAGGTGTTCACTTGGTTGCATCACAGCTGTCTGTGCAACTTAATAAAAACAGAATAATGAAACTGCCTGGGAAGGTATCTGCATGGCAGCCAGTACTGGCTGGCACTGTTACATCGTCAGCTTTCAATATCATGTCTATGCAGTTACCTCCAAATCTCTACTCATGATCTTCTCCCCCAAACTCCAGATACAATATATGCGAATGCTCATTTGATATCTTCCGTATTTATCTATTTTCTACAATTTATTAACTAACAAGGAAAATATGAAAAAATCATTTTCCCCCCAGAAATGAATAGGTGGTTAAGGAAGTGAGAACAATAAATAATTCAAGGAACCAAATGAAGAGAACAACATGGGAAACTTTCCTTGTGCCAAGGGCATAAAGAATAGTTTAAAGGTTATATAAGATGTGGGAAGGAGAAATAAAACAAAACATAAAAACAACAACTACAGTTTCCTGAAATAATTTGTAATACAATGTGGTATATTCACCAAAAAGATGTGGCATTCCTCATGAAATACTTCCACATTTCACATGATGTTTTGTTAGATTCCTTAACTGGCAGAACCTCAAATACAGGGCCAACTCTCACTGTTTGGGGGGGGTTTAATGATAACTATCAAAATGCTCCAATAATTCAGAGCTATACAATCTTAGAGTCTTTACGAAAACATCAGCCTAAATAGTTTATGATGTTGAATACATAGATTTAGAATATCCAAGTATTCTTACTTTAGAATACAACAGAAAACTTTATTTTAAAACCGAAATTTAACTTCACAGTGTTTGAACATTAGATTAGCTAAGATAACCAAATAAGGCAAAACTATTTTCTTTATATCCCTTTTTGGCTTTCCTGAATTTCACTCACCTTACATAAAAGTAATATCTCATATACAGGGATATCTAACTCTCTAAGTTAGCCTGAAATACATATGAACACCTCAGTGCAATGTCATGGGTAATTTAAGCTTTACAAAGCAGCACATAACTTTTTAGACTGGCATTTCCCCCTTCCACAAAAAGCAGGAGTTGATAAATCTAGTTCCTGCTCTCCAAATGCTCACTATCTAAAAAGACAACACTGATTTGAAAGCCGAGTCAAATAACTTGCCCTGAACTTAACCAAGTGGATAAAGAAGTTATGGGTACAAAACATATATAACAGGATTAAGATACATTTAGATTTAGAGATAAAAAAACAACAATTTAAAATATGCCTGTTTGGCCAAGTAAGAACCAAAAGAGAGAATAGCACTTTTCTCCCACCTACCCCGCTAGCTAAAAAAGTTCAGTAAATAAAGTTACATTTCAAAGGCCTACTAAGGCTTGAAGGTACTTTGGATAGC